GCTGGTTAGCCTCCCTCCTATGGCCCATATGGCCCATATCTTTCCCCGGGGGGTTCCGGTAACCCCTCCGGTACTCCGGTATGTACCCAATTCATTCCTGAACACTTCTGGTGTCTGAATATCACCTTCCAATATACCAATCTTTACCTCTTGACCATTTCGAGACTCCTCGTCATGTCTGTGATCTCATCGGGACTCCGAACAACCTTCGGTCACCAACGCATAACTCATATAATACATATCGTCATCAAACATTAAGCGTGTGGACCCTACGGGTTCGAAAACTGTGTAGACATGACCGAGAAACCTCTCCGGTCAACCAGTAGAGAATCTGGATGCTCATATTGGTTCCCACATATTCTACGAAGATCTTTATCGGTCAAACCGTAATGTCAACATATGTTATTCCCTTTGTCATCGGTATGTTACTTGCCCGAGATTCGATCGTCGGTATCTTCATACCTAGATCAATATCGTTACTGGCAAGTCTCTTTACTCGTTTCGTAATGGATCATCCCGCAACTAACTCATTAGTCACATTGCTTGCAAGGCTTCATATGATGTGCATTACCGAGAGGGCCCAGAGATACCTCTCTGATACTCGGAGTGACAAATCCTAATCTCGATCTATGCCAACCCAACAAACACCGTCAGAGATACCTGTAGAGCATCTTTATAATCACCCAGTTTCGTTGTGACGTTTGATAGCACACAAGGTATTCTTCCGGTGTCCGGGAGTTGCATAATCTCATAGTCGGAGGAATATGTCTTTGACATGAAGAAAGCAGTAGCAATAAACTTGAACGATCATTATGCTAAGCTAACGGATGGGTCTTGTCCATCACATCATTCCACTAATGATGTGATCCCGTTCATCAAATGACAACACATGTCCATGGCTAGGAAAAACTTAACCATCTTTGATCAACGAGCTAGTCAAGTAGAGGCATACTAGGGACACGGTGTTTTGTCTATCTACTCACATGTATCAAGTTTCCGGTTAATACAATTCTAGCATGAATAATAAACATTTATTATGAATAAGGAAATAGAAAATAATAACTTTATTATTGCCTCTAGGGCGTATTTCCTTCAAAGCCGCCATGGCGCGCACATTGACGGGGTTCTTCTCCTCTGTTCTCTGCCACCGACGTGGTCGATCATCTTGGCCTCCTCTCGGCCTCCTCTCTCGTCCCACTACGCTTGAGTCATTTCCGGCATCAATCATCTCGGCCTCCTCTCTCGTCCTACTACACAGACGATACCATGGTGTGAGCACTGCATTCTACTCCCATGTCCACTGTCTTTGCGCGAGCACCGCAACTAGTTCGCCAACGGTGTCGCTCGCCGTGCCGCCGACGGGGTCGCTCTCCCACGACTCCATGCTCGTCACGTCGGACACGGCGCCACGGCCACTATCCACCGATGTTGCCATGGTCCGGCGCACACTGCATTTCTTCCCCCTCTTCTTCTGCTAGCTCTTAACCCTGTGTGCTAAGTACAACTGCTAGCTCTTACTCATACTCCATGCGGGCAACCAAACAGTGTATAGTCGTATGCGCCGAGACAATGCAAGCAACCAAACAATGTGCCAAAGTTGATCCCCTAATGCAGTTGCCATTGTCCGGCGCACACTGCATTTCTTCTCCCTCTTCTTCTGCTAGCTCTTAATCCTGTGTGCTAAGTACAACTGCTAGCTCTTACTCATACTCCATGCGGGCAACCAAACAGTGTAAAGTTGTATGCGCCGAGACAATGCAGGCAACCAAACAACGTGCCAAAGTTGATCCCCTAATGCAGGAAGTCTATATGCAGGCAATCAAATAACCTGCAGATGTCACATATGAGGCTGTTTTTCTAGAAGCAGAATGGGTTGAGATGTGTATGCAACGCAGGTACTGTTTACTACTGCAACCAAACACGCCCTTCTCGTAGAATTGAGAATCCATATCTGGTGTGGGGACGCACCTCCGGAGATGTAACCAACCAAATTGAAATCACATTTCCTACAAACAACGACTCTTTCCTTTCTTTTCATTTATTGCCAAGTGAGCCTGAGGCATGATGGTAGTACATAATTAGCCACTGATTAAACTTGATGATGCTACCCTACGTATCTTTTCTATTTATAAAGATTGAAGTTGGTGGTGAGTTCACATGTGGGTCCTACATCATTTTCAAATAAACAAATATACACTCCCCACATGTGAAATTAGCAACCTTTCCAAAATGAAAATACAAAGGTGATCATGGTTCCACGCGCACCCACATGAATAGTAAATTAAAAAAATAAAAAAAATAAAAATTCTAAAATTTTGGGATATGAAACTTAGTCGACCATTCTACTCACACGTGAAGTTTCGTGATGTATTGACGTCCATGGTATTCTTAGTGAAGAAAATACAATTGAGACCATACTATTCATCAAACAGTGTTTCTAAATATAGCTTTGATTTTGTCATTTTTGCCCAGATTACCACGGATGTGATTTCTTCACAAAACTTCATATGCGAGTATACCGGTTGACTATGTATATTACAGAAAAGTTTCAGATTTTTATATTTTTCCTTATATTTCTTTTGAATTTACTATTCATAAAGGGTGCGCGTGGAACCATGTTCATCAAATCCGCATCCCTTAAAAAGACGTATGTACAAATGTATTTTACTTGCATGTGGAATCTATATCTTAAATAAACAAACACATTACTTGCACGTGAGACCAACTTTTTATAAAAAGGCACAAATAACAAACACAAAAAGTGTGACTTCAACTTAAAATCGATCTTGGTTTTAGTTTCATTTCCCAACCTACTATTGTCATTTAAAATTCTATGGCACTGCATGTCTCTCACCGTATTTTTGCTATCTTTTTCTAATCTTAAATCACACAACGGCCACAAAAGACACTGATGTTATTTGACCACAACGGCCAATGGCTCCGTGGCAATGCACAGGCATCAATGGCTCCGTCCGTCCGTCCATCCATCCATACCGGCCGAGGTCACGGAGCCAGCGGCGAATTCAACACCAGTCAATCTCCACTACTATACTCAGCTGATAAGTAACCAAACCTTATTTCAATTGGAAACAAAACTTCACTGCTGAAACTGTAGGTGTCTTTCAGATGTTGGGTGTCTTTCAGATGAAAAAGAGGCTCAAGATTTGAGCCCACCACAGACCAAGAAATGCTGGGTGGAACAAGATTGTTTTACAGCACCAAGAGTACGAGTTGAGCCCATCACAGAATCACACAGTCCAAATTAATTAATCTACTCCGGGTTGCACTGAAAGCGATAATCTGAAAGATAACTTTGTGAGCAACCACAACAATCAGAAGAAAGAATAGAAGAGGATGCAATGCAGTGCTGCTGTCTTCCGAGTCAGTGAGAGATCTGCCTTCAATGTAGGAGAGTTATTATGGTGACACCTGGATGATGATGTCAGTGGATTCCCACAAAAAAATCCCATTGCAGAGATCAATGACATTGGAACCTGACTGGTTTGCAGTGTGTGCGCTCCGAAGCGAGGCCGATCCTCTGTATCATCATTCAGGCGGTTCGCATCTGCATCCAACATCTTCTCCCGGTAGAAAGAAAGCAACACCTAAATTCAGTAAATTGAAGACTGAGTTTGGGTGGATTAGACTAAACCAATATCTCCAGGTAAACATCCCCTGTTCAACAAGTACAGCCTGTGTGCAAACAGGAATGTCACAAATCAAAGAAACAAGGAAAAAAATAACTCAAGTGTGTCGACCGCAGTGGCAACTTGTTAACTCCAAGAGTTCCAAGTTTAACCTGTATGTGTGGATATTGGCATAAAATGCACCCGATGGCTACAACTTCAGTCATGGTAGCCTTCATGATATATACTGCATTTAAAGTACATTTAATATTACGAAGGAAACAGCATGACCTGTCTTTCTGTGCTTGAAAAAGCTTAAGTAATATAAGGCCTTTTGAACAGCCAAGATTCTGAGTATCCATGGAACAGCCAAGTATTTTTCATAACAGAAACAGCTAGCACCAATGGAAATGCTACTAGCACATTTTTCAGTTTTGAGATCAAATTCCTAGAAAAAAATGTATTCCAAGAAAAAAAATAGATAGCATTTCCCTCTGCAAGCAACAGCATATTCTTTATCGAGGTGCGGGGCAGCTTCCTTGTGAGGGCATATGAAATTTTTCAATGAAAACCTTATTGGTCACCATGCGCTTGAGGAATCAATTTCCTTGAGAAACTTTACAGCATAGTATCAGGGCCTGAGCAGGCCATCTAGTTCTGATAAGCTATGATAGATGTAAATGATGAGACTAATTCATTGTTGATCATGCTTTAGTCCCAAATAGATTACCTTATCAAGTTTGAAATTTTTCTCAGCAGAAGTAAAATCAGGTACAGGATTTAGGAACAAGGATATTCAATCTTAGAAGGATAATGGGGAAAAATAATCAAAAGGCATAAGACACCCAATAGAAACATATTTCCTAAGCATAACCTAGATATAAAAAAAATGAACTGTAAATGATGAAAAACAAAAGGATAGAAATGGAATGGAAACAAAAAATTGAATGAAAGCAACTCATATGATATATTTACTGGAAAACGATGCAATACAGTTCTCATCCTTTCTTGTTCTCTGGGTTCTGGTTTCACAAGAAAATTGGTCTACCCACATATTCAATTTCCATTATCCTAATGGAAGTCGGAAACACAAAATATTCATGGACTTTAATTGTCTGAGATTGTATAGGCGATGCTTTCATATCTATTCCCTCCGTAAACTAATATAGGAGGGAGTACTTAATGACAACATCATTACATCAACACCGCAGGGTTCATGAATTAAATTATCAATTTCGTTAGTCAGTAGCAGCGACCAATCCACCATGTGGAAGACATACTACAGCGGAAACCAATCTCTATTCAGGGGAAAAAAAATACTAATGTGAATTACCAACTTACTAGGAATGCTGAAAACTGTCATGTCATACACAGTTACCAATTTCCATGGCCCATCTCTGCTTCATTTAATCTGAATCTAGCCGTCAATTCCCCTCTGCAAGCTGCTGCATAATCTTCAGCAAGGTGGGGTGCAGCTTCCTTGTGAGGGCATATGAACTTCTCCATGAATACCTTCTCACTCAGTGTGACTGCGGTATACAAGTCCCGGCCAGGATCTAGCAATCCATTTGCCTTAAGAAACTTCACGACATAGCTCCGGGGCCTTAGCCGGCCCTCCAGGCTGTACAAGAGCATTACCGAGCGATGAGCAATGTATGCGGGTTCCAACCCCAAATCAGAGATTAGGAACTCTGACCTTCTCTGCAGAGACTCCTTAGTCTTATTCAGCACATTTGGAGCCTTGGAAATAGCAATGCCCACCTCATCATCTGACCACCTGAACATTTTCTTCAAGTGCTCCACTGCGGCAGCGATTTTCTCCTCGCTGACGAATGCAACAGCACCCATCGCATGCCAAAACATCCCAGACCATCGGGGTATACCCAGAACATCGACACGCAACACCGTCGCCCGGATACGCTCTACGTTGCAGGTGAGCAGCCATGGGTGGGCGACGCACAGCTTGGCAATATCACAAGGACCAAGCCCGAACTCTCGCAGGAGCGCAACGTTGGGCTTGACCACCCTCTCGAGGTCGGACATGAGAATGTAGGATTTGCGCTTGATAGCAGTGAGGAGATTCTCGTAGGACCCGAAGATGCACAGGCAGTAGTGTAGATTGGTGACGATGGATCTACGGCGGAACTGGTTGCCGGCGACCAAGACGAGGCGCGCGATGTCAGAGCGCGAGAGACCGATGCCGGTGAGCGCGGCGACGTTGGGGGCCAGTATTGTCCCCACGCCGGCGCAAAGGAACCGGGGGTCCCTGGCGACGACGGCGGCCACGTCGGCGCCGGAGAGGCCGAGGTCGGCGAGGAAGGCGAGGACGGCGTCGGGCTTGGAGGGGGACTTGAGGTGGGAGAGCTTGGGGGAGGCCTTGAGGGCCTGGGGTCGGGTGAGGCCGCAGGTGGAGACGAGGTAGTCCTCGACGGCGAAGCTAGGGTTTGGGGGACCGACGGGCACGGCCGCTGAGAGGAGGCGGCTGTGGTAGCCGAGGAGCTGGGAGATGGGAGAGGCGGAGGGGGCCGAGAGGAGCTGGGAGAGGGCGCGGCATCGGAGGAGCATGGCGGCGCCGGCGGCGAGGTAAAGGGGAACGCGTTGGTGCGGGGAATGAGGGGCCGTGGACAAGATTTTCGTGGGTGCTCTGGTTCAACCCAAATTTTTTTTTCTTCCGCTCTAGTGTGTGTCCTCTCGTCTGGCATGTAGATATAGATACGTTAGGGCTCATCTCAAAAAAAAAAAAGATACGTTAGGGCTTATTCGTGGTGTCGCTGGGAGGAAGAGGTTGCGCCGCGCTCAGCAAAAATTGTCATAGACCGTCCCCCACTTTGTCGAGGCAATCTACGGTGGGTTCATTTGATTAGGGTATCTAGACAAGGTCGGTGCTATTGTGTCGGCCACCAAATCATCGATCTTTTTGTTCTCCCGTTATCTTTTGGCATACGCTATTTTAGTTTAAACTCGTTTAGGACACATATGACCAAGGAGGAATTCCTACCTCTGGTCAAGAAAATCTGGCAAAGACCTGTTAAAGCCTCTGATCCTATTTGATGTTCTTAACATCAAGTTGAAACGTTTTAAAAAAAACTAAAGGTTGAGGGTCTGACAAATTCGGTCATGATAAGAAAGAAAAAGAGGAGATAAAAAACGAACTTCTTGCCACAGAGACTATGGAAGAGCAAGGCGATCTCGATCTTGATATCTTGGGGAGAAGGGCTGACCTTTGCGGCAGGCTCCAGCAAATGCTAGCTGATGAAGAACTTTTTTGGCTCCAACAATCCAATGAGACATGGTTATTTAAAGGAAATAAAAATACATCTTTTTTCCATAGGATTGCCAATGAAAAAGAGAAAAAAAACACCATTCACTCTTTCTCCAATGGAGAGGAGACCATAGAGGGCACCGATAACCTATTGAAACATGCCACGGATTATTATAAAAACCTCTTTGGGGCAGCCCCTGGGAATATATTTCATCTTGATCCAGACATATGGGGGGAAGATGAAAAATTAACGGATGAAGATAATGATCTACTCACTAGGCCTTTTATTGAGGAGGAGGTCAAAACAGCCATGTTTTCTATGGATAGTAACCGAGCCCCTGGCCCTGACAGCATTCCAGCGGAATTCTACCGTTACTGTTGGGACATTGTTAAGCAAGATATCATGAATCTCTTCGTGGCCTTTCACGAAGGCTCCTTGGATGTGGAGAGACTTAACTATGGTATTATTACTCTAATTCTGAAAATCAATGGGGCGAAAAAAATTCAAGAATTTCGTCATATCTGCCTCTTACGCTGCCCTTATAAGCTCATAACTAAGGTCCTGGACAATAGAGCAGTTGTCTTTACTAGCAAGCTTATCAGTCGTAACCAAAATGCCTTCATCAAGAAGCGCAACATCATGGATGGGACCCTGATGTTGTATGAAGTGCTTCACCATACACATATCAAAAAGAAAACGGGGATTGTGCTAAAACTCGATTTCGAGAAAGCATACGATAAGGTCAACTGGGAATTCCTCTTGGAATGCCACAGACTAATGGGGTTTAGCGACAAATGGTGTGCTCGGATTGATCAAATCCCCCGTAACGGTACGATGAGTGTTAAAATTAACAACACCGTGGGACTATACTTTCAAAGCTACAAAGGGGTCTGGCAAGGAGATCCTATGTCTCCCTTCTTGTTTAACTTAGCTGTTGAATGCTTAACGAAGATGGTGCTCAATGCTCGAAAAAATAATATTTTTAAAGGTCTGGCTACTGACCTCGTCCCATGGGGGGTCGTTATTCCTCAGTATGGCGATGACACGGTTCTCTGTATAGAGGATGACATTGAGTAGGCTATCAATCTTAAGTTACTTCTTTATCTCTTTGAACTCATGTCAGGCCTCAAGATCAATTTCATGATAAGTGTGGTCCTATGTGTAGAAGGAGATGAATCTACTCTCCAAAAATATGTTGATCTTTTTGGTTGTCAGATCGGACACTTTCCTATGAAATATCTAGGGGTGCCTGTGAGCTATTCCTATTTAAGGAATGCCGACTGGGAGTTTGTAGCTATTAGATATCTTAAAAGCTGTGATGCCTGGATTGTCAGTTCTGCCTCTTCCCTATCCAGCATAGCTTACTATTACATGTCGATGTTTCCCCTATCTAACACTTTCATTGTGAAGGAAATATGCCCTAGAGGCAATAATAAAGTTATTATTTATTTCCTTAATTCATGATAAATGTTTATTATTCATGTTAGAATTGTATTAACTGGAAACTTAGTACATGTGTGGATACATAGACAAAACCTATAGTCCCTAGTATGTCTCTACTTGACTAGCTCGTTAATCAAAGATGGTTATGTTTCCTAACCATAGACATGTGTTGTCATTTGATGAACGGGATCACATCATTAGGATAATGATGTGATGGACACGACCCATCCGTTACCTTAGCATTATGATCGTGTCAGTTTCATTGCTGCCGCTTTCTTCATGACTTATACAAGTTCCTCAAACTATGAGATTATGCAACTCCCGAATACCGGAAGAACACTTTGTGTGCTACCAAACGTCACAATGTAAATGGGTGATTATAAAGGTGCTCTACAGGTGTCTCTGAAGGTGTTTGTTGGGTTGGCATAGATCGAGATTAGGATTTGTCACTCCGTGTTTCGGAGAGGTATCTCTGGGCCCTCTCGGTAATACTCATCACTATAAGCCTTGCAAGCATTGTGACTAATGAGTTAGTTGCAGGATGAAGTATTACGCAACGAGTAAAGAGACTTGCCAGTAACGATATTGAACTAGGTATTGAGATACCGACGATCGAATCTCGAGCAAGTAACATACCGATGACAAAGGGAACAACGTATGTTGTTATGCGGTTTGACTGATAAAGATCTTCGTAGAATATGTAGGAACCAATATGAGCATCCAGGTTCCGCTATTGGTTATTGACCGGAGACATGTCTCGGTCATGTCTACATAGTTCTTGAACCCGTAGGGTCCGCATGCTTAACGTTCGATGATGATTGGTATTATGAGTTTGTGTCTTATGATGTACCGAAGATTGTTCGGAGTCCCGGATGTGATCACGGACATGACGAGGAGTCTCGAAATGGTCGAGACATAAAGATTGATATATTGGACAACTATATTCGGACACCGGAAGTGTTCCGGAGAAGTTTCGGATAAAACCGGAGTGCCGGAGGGTTACCGAAACCCCCGGAGGAACCAATGGGCCTCGATGGGCCCTAGTGGAGAGAGAGAGGGGCCGGACAGGGCAGACCATGCGCCCCCTCGCCTTGAGTCCAAATAGGACAAGGAAGGGGGGGTGTCGGTGTCAAAACCGGTGGATCTCGGGTAGGGGGTCCCAAGCTGTGCGTCTTAGGATCAATGGTAACATGAACACGGGGTTTTACCCAACTTAGGGCTCTCTTAATGAGATAATGCCCTACATGCTGCTCGATTGACTATAATGAGTATAGGGGTTACAAGAGTTGATCTACCTCGAGATCATATGTTGTGGTCTAAACCCTAGAAATATGATGAGTTATGTCATAATCCTCTATCAACTAGCCTAGCCTCGGTTTATATAATGTACCATAGGCCTAGGGTAACAAGAGTCCTAGCCGAATATGCCGGTGTGGGAGGAGTCCTTGTCTTGATCACCAAGTCTTGTGGAATCTTCCTTATATGCGGCAACTGTCCGAACTAGCCCATGAGTATACGGCCATGGGGGTCCTCGGTCCAATCTAACTGATCGGGGGACGACGTGGTGAGTACCCCCTAGTCCAGGACACCGTCAGTAGCCCCTTGACCGGTCTTCAAGTTGGGGACGCTCCTTTATTCTTCCGAACTGTTCTTCATCTTCGGTCGTCGGTCTTGAAAACTGGTTCAACAAATCTTCTCATCTTTGATCTTGAGGATCGCGAAGTAAATCCGAAGAGTTTATATGTCGGGTATCCGAGGAGCCCCTTTAAGTTTCCGGCCTTTATCAATGCCTTGTTATTATTATGCCACACCTCAGGTATGAAGTTATTCCCGGGAGGCAGTGTCCTCTTTCGTCCGAGCTCCAACGCCGGATTGCATTCGAGGTATCTTTTGCATCCAAGCACCAACGTTGGACTGCTTCCGAGCTCCAACACCGGAATGTATCCAAGCTCTAACGCCGGACTGTGTCCAAGCTCCAACGCCGGACTGTATTCGAGCTCCAACGCCGGACTATATCCGAGATGTCATAGATCATCTGGGTTCAAAAAGTTGAAGGAGTTTAGCCGAGCTTAATGCCGGAAATGCCCTCTATGGAGCCAGCCACTGGAACCCGAGCTTAATGCCGGACTGCTTCCGAGGTGGTGCACCACCCCTGACTGCGGGCTGATTTTTTGATGGTGCAATTTATTCTCTACCGATATATATATATAGCCAGTAGCCCTCAAGGTGTGTGCGTCGGTCTAAAACCCGAGATGCACCTGAAGGAAAACATGAAACCGCTGATCCTAGTTGCCCCTGAGACTCAGGTCGATGCACGAAATCGGCCTGAGGATCAATTCCTAGCTCGGCAGCATACATAGGAATAGAAATGCGGTGTGCAAAGTCCTCGAGACTCAGGTTGGGTGCGGCCGACCGACCTGAGGATAATAATCTCCTCGAAAACTATATTGCACTGTAAATTTTCTGCATTGGATTACCAATGCAGTAGCCCCTGAGACACTGGTCGGGTGGCAACATCAGATCAGGGGATCAATGTACCCCTCTAATATTTGTAAATAATAAGCACGAAGCCCAGTAGCCCCCGAGCCTTAATGTGGGCACGGGTGGCCGAATTAAGGATCGATATCCAAAGTAAAATTACAAATTATGTGTAATGATTCTATGTATCTAAGTACTTTACATCATCAATGCTCGGATCCGCATTGTACAAAACTTTGTTCACCGGCCATCGGCTTCAACCTCCTCAGCCAGTAGCCGGGGAGTGTTTTTCCCACTTTATAAAGCCTTTATGAGGGCAAAGATTTACGGCAAACAAGGCAATCCGGCCATACGGTTTTATAAACAAAGGTACGCAGAGAG